AAAACTAAATAAGCACAATCAATCCACACATAAGAAAAGATAACTTCAAAGTGAATTTAAATTTAAAATTAAATATTTGTGTTTATCTCTCAGTAATATCAGTTTCTGTCTCTCACTCTCTCTCTCTCTCTCTCTCTCTCTTTCTCTCTCTTTGTCTCTCTCAACTGTTTAGATTGCCCTCGTCCAGCTGTTGGTTAGTTTAGCTCCATTTTGAGGGTTTGAGGCGTCGTCAGTCGCAAGTAAAAGCAATTTCAGGTACTCGACTGGAGGACGACAAACAATTTGCATATGCAATGCACGTGCGCATCTTCAATTTACAATTTGGATGCGGCTAAATACGTATCTGTGCGATAGATCTATAAACCAATTTCCGCAGCTAAAGCAAAAACACATCCGATTTGTACTGGAAATGGCCGTTGTTGCTATTGTTGTTGTTGCTGTTGTAGTTGTTGTTGTCACGTCTCGCTCAATTAACACTGTCCTATTTTTGGAGCATTTCCTTTTCATAGCATTCTGACGATGACGTTGCATAAATGTTTCCGCCATTTTGCAAAATATTATAGCACACACACACACACACACACATACACAGAGACAGCGCGCGAGAAAGACACGCAAATGTTTGCATGCGCTTTCATTAAGCCTTTACTTTAAATATTTATAAATAAAAAGCAACTATTTTGGACGAGCTCTAACCAATGCACACACTCCACAATAGTAAATGGTGCCGCAACTAGGACGATATCCTGTTTCCCGTACAATGGTGCACCACTTAAAGCGAGTCGCACTTTTCGACTCCTGCTAGCCAGTGCGTGTGTGTGTGTGTGTGCGAGTGTGTGTGAACATTTGAGTAATAAACTCATTTCATATGCTGACTGCTTTTTCATTTCAAAAGTTTTTTCTGTAGCCAGTGTGTTTCTTGTTAGCCAAGCAAGCCGCATGATATACGAGTACTCCAACTGTTGTGGGACCCCTCCCCCCCACGCTCTTTCTCTCACTTTTGCCTTAGCTCTGTTGTGCTGTGCAGTTTCTAGTTAACTATTTCAGTTGTTGTTGCTGTTGTTTCTGTTGTTTTATTAGGTTGTGTTTGTTGGGCCCGCTGCTTGCGGATTAGTTGCAAAATTTTGGTTGAACTGCAGCTGCAGGAAAACGAAAATATTATTAAATATGCATAGGTGAGCCAAACGGCAGCTCCGTTACCTGTTAAATGTAGGTGAAACTGGCTGTCAAATGCCTGACACAACGATAATGAAATTTGCCCAGGCCTCGTCAACATAGCGGCATGCCCTATGCCCTGCACACTCTCTCTCTCTCTCTCTCTCTGTCTCTCGCTCTCGCTTTAGTACAGCTAAAACACGTTGAGTGACATTTTAATAAAGTGCTCACTTGTTCAATTAAATGCTCTCCAGACGCGATTGCGACTGTGCCTCATAAGAATGCAAAATAGACACACAAACAGTCCGTCAGTTAGTTAGACAGACAAACAGAGAGTGTGAGAGAGAGAGAGAGAGAGAGACAGGGCGAGAGATAGACAGTTAGTCAGTCAGTTAGTTAGCAAGTTCGGTGCTCTGCATCTTTTGCCTTTTGACTGCTGTT